CATATCTTATTGCAATATTAAAAGACTCTATGGGCAAAATATTGAATGATGCGGGCATCATCACAAGATGATGAAAAGAATGCCGTCACTGTGCCAAAAAGAACGTGTGGACATTCCACCGCCAAGTGGCAGCATGTGAGCAAGGGTGCTGAAGGAAGACGTGCAGGCTGCACTGAAAGCCAGACACAGGCTCCAGAAAATAATGGGACACCAACCGACATGTTCCAGCAAGCGGCTGAAGCACCGGACACACTCCCTCTATGCCAGGATATTTGGAAGACATTTACCTAGAAGGCTCTTGACTAGAAGAGATCCCTATCTGTGCCCATTCCAAAGAAAAGGGACCCTGCAGGATGCTCAGATTCCAGAACAATACCATTGATGTCACAGCCAAGTAAGGTTTTGCTGAAGATCATCCAACTACGGCCACGGAAGTGCACTGCCAGCTGCCAGAGGTTCAGGCCGGATTCCGAAGATGACGTGTCAGATGGATCTTGGCTCAAAGCAGAGACTACCAGAACGATGCTCCCTCGTGCTGTATTGACTATGCCAAGGCATCGGGGGTGTGGATGATGATAAACTGATAGCCTGAGAAGAACGGGCATTCTAGAGCACTGCACTGTGCTTATGCAGACGTTATACCTGACTCAAGAGGCAGTTCACACAGGACAAGGGACGACTGCAAGTGGTTTTAAATCAAGAAAGGTTTGTGTCGGGGTTGTAGCCTCTCACCATACTTAGCCCATCGATGTCTTAATATGAACAAATTATCAGAGAAGCTGGATTATATGAAGGAGTGTGTGCATCGGGAGCAGAGGAAGGCTTATTAACAACCTGCAGGATGCAGGTGACACAACCTTGCTTGCTGAAAGTGGAGGACTTGAAGCCCTGGCTGATGAAGACCAAGGATGATGAAGATCAAGGATTTCAGCCTTCAGGATGGATGACAACTCAATGTCCAGAAGCCCAAAATCCCCATGACTGGACCAATAGGTCACATCATGGTCAATGGAGAAAAGGTCGAAGCGGTCAAAGATTTTGTCTTGCTTGGATTCACAATCGATGCTCATGGAAGCAGCAGTCAAGAGATCAAATGTCACATTGGATTGGGTCAATCTGTTGCACGAGACCTCTTTAAAGTGTTGCCCAGCAAGGGGGTTACGTTAAGGACGAAGGTGCACCTGACCTAAGCCTGGGGATCTTCATTTGCCTCCTGTGTATGGGAAAGCTGGACATTGCATGAGACAGACCAAGGAAGAGATGATACATTTGAATTGGGGTGTGGGGGAAGAATATCGAAAGTACCATGGGCTGCCAAAGAACACCTGAATCGGTCTTGGAAACAGTACAGGCAGAATGCTCCTTAGCAGTGAGGCTAGTGAGACTTCAGCTCACATACTCTGGCCACATTGTCAAGTGACCAGTCCCTGGAGAAGGACATCAGGCTTCGTGAGGCAGAGGACGCTCCGGACAATGGATGGACGCAGTGGCTGCAACCATGGGCTCAGACATAAGAACAATTGTGCGGATGGACCGCCATCCCTGCTTCTAAGGGTCATTCTGGCTGTCCGTCAAGACAGTTTTGTTCCTTCTACGCGGAAGTCCGTGGAACTGCCAGTGTTCTTCACCAGCACCACAATTCAAAGGCAACAATTCTTCAGTCTTCCTTATTCAGTGTCCAACTTTCACCTGCATAGGCGCCCATTGAAAACACCGTGGCTTGACGTCCCTCACTGACCCATAGCCCTTCAAGGGACAACACTGGAGACAGTGTGGGAATTGCGCCTGATCTGGTCCTGCCACACTGAGGCAGAACACTAAGGGGGTGCAACAGAACAGCAAGGAAACAGAGCAACGAAGTCCCCAGGGAATACCAAAAAAATAGGCTTGGGGCCAGGGCTTGGTGCCCCAACAGACTGGACTGGAAAATGCTCCTAAAGGCCAATAAACAGTCCTTGAACTAAC